ATAGGCTGTAGCAGTGCAGAAGAGTTTACCATAAATACTACATATTCAATATAAATCTCAGAAAAATAGTGTTGAACACACACAAAAAAACAAGTCTTAAAGGATTGTTAATTTATATACTATTTAGATATAGTTTAACTGTTTTAGATAAGTGGTAACATTTAAATTAAAAAAAAAGCCAGAATATGATTATCTCAAATATTGGGAGAAAAAGAAGAGAGGGAGATTCAGTTAAGGAGAAGGAAATGTGAGGTTTTTCGCTGGGTGTTGTGGCATGCATCTATAGTTACAGTTAACTCAGGAGACGGAGGCAGGAGGATTGCTTTGAGTCCAAGGGTTCCAGGCTAGTTTGGGCAATATAGCAAGATCCCATCTAAAAAGACCAGAGAGGTGCAGGGAGCAACAACATAGAACTATTGTTTCTTAATCTGACTGGTGTTTTCTTAATCTGACTGGTGTTGGAAGCACAGATGTTTGCTGTCTTGTATTTTTTAATGTGGAAGTGTATATGATATATTTCATAATAAAGTAAATTAGAAAGTAAAGATAGAATATAGGAATTTGCTCAAATGGTCCAGAGAAAGGGATAGTATTGGGAAGACCACACAGGAAAATTGTCCTAGGTCCTAGGGAAAAATGTTTCCAATCCTGATTTATTCCGAGTTTTATATCTGTAGTAGTTTTACTAACACTGGAACATGACTGCTATTAACAGTTGAGACTTTGTATATCTCATCTTACCTCTAGTACTATCATTGTCCCAGTCATCCTGACTCCATACTTTTTGTATGCTTATATGTTGTCACTACATCATGATATTTTCCTTTAAAATATCTTTAAGTTTTTTTTTTTTACTATTTAATGTTTTGCTAGTAGATGCTAGCATTTGACTTTTGAAAAAACAAATTATACATTTTTTAATTACAATTAAAAAGATACTTGTATCTCAATTGAAACCATCTATAAAACAATTAAAAACCTTTGGTCATATTGACAAATGTTTATTTTAATTTTTTTTTAGTTATAATTGGATACAATACCTTTATTTTATTTTTATGTGGTGCTGAGGATCGAACCCAGGCCCTTGCACATGCCACAACCACAGTCCAAGAGAAACGTTTATAATGTTTATTTTTTAAAAAATATTTTTAGTTGTAGGTGGACACAATATCTTCATTTTATTTATTTATTTTCATGTGGTGCTGAGGATAGAACCCAGTGCCTCATATGTGTTAGGCTACAACCCATCCCAGTTGAGTTGTTTTTAAACATTTTTTTTTTTTTGGAGACATTTAGTAAAAATTAAAGCCCCTTGTTACATGAATAGTACAGATATTTCTAGTTTTCTGATCACCTGTCAAAAAGCAAAACTAGGATCAGGGTTGTGGCTCAGTGGCAGAGCACTTACTTGCCTAGCATGCGTGAGGCACTGGGTTTGATCCTCTACACAACATAAAAACAAATAAAGATATTAAGAAAAAAAATTCAAAACTTAAAAAAAAAAAAAAAAGAAAAGCAAGACTTAAGACTCCATTTGGCTCCAGCCATTTTATTCATTTCTTCTTACTGGAGTTTTGTATTTATTTGTTCTTATGGATAAGTAAACTGGATGAGGCAACATATTTTTACTTCTTCCCTGTGCAGCCTACAGAGTTGAGTCTTAGCTGATAGATCAGATTCTTTTTGACTCTTTTAACTTGTGGTTTAACACTTTATGGGTGTCTGCATTGACAGTTGAAATGGTGGAGGTTCTGATGTCAATGAAACTGTGAATGCTTAGGTGCTTTCTCCTTGGTTTTCTTTATCCTCTTGTTTTTAATCATTCTATGTTGTCTTTGGAGGTTAAAGTCTTTGAAATTGTGATCGATAGCCTTAACACATATTTTGCTCTAATAGTCTGCTTTTTTCCTCACAGTTTAATACACTAAATTATTTCTTCTTATGAAGGTTGGAATACTGTGGTAGATTCTCAACAGTGGGAAAGTTTATTATTGGACTTGCTTTTCAGAATGTGCACATTTTACTCCATTCTTAGTATTGTGGTAATTCTGTTGCCCATCTTCATACTTTTTTTCCTTCAACAACCACCACTCTAATCTCTCCATTTCCTGCTTTAGAGTAGTCCGGTATTCAAACACTTCTTTCTTGGGCTCAGGAACTTACTTTCTTTCTGTGATGAAACCATATTAAACCATATTAAACCCTTTCACTCTTCCTGGTACTTACGTTGCAATAATCTTGTTCCCACTAATGTTCTCCACTATTCGTATAGTGGAGATGGTGAATGTAGGGCTTGATACAGCAGTGGTAGCTCCTCCTAGATTATGATAGTGATGAGGTTTGCCCCAGCATGGCTTTTTAGGGATCTCTGGATCTGCTTTTAATTTCCACTACCAGTTAAGCTCATTTTCTTTCTTACTCATATCCTATTGCAACTGTGTAGGTGCACTGCTTGGACATCTCTCAAAGTTCTAAAGAACTTCTTTAGTTCCAGAGAGAATAAGTAACTGATAGCATGTACTTGTTGGTAGCTTTAGAATCCTTTATCTTTTGGGCTGAAGCCTGGGAAGCCTCTACCCAGCAACAGATCTTGGCATGCCAATTCAAGTCCAGTTCAGGTCTCATAGTGGGAAGTCTTTGCTGCAGGGCTCCCAAGATTTTGATGGATCTACATCTAGGTCTGAGGCTTTTTCTACTCAGTCCCGCTTTATATTACCTTTACTTTCATGGGTTTGAGATCTGCATCATGGGCTGAAAGTCTTCCATGACCAATTTTTTTCTTCCTCTTTTTGTATTCTTTGCTCAGTATCTCTTTCCCAGAGGATACAACTGACACATACCATTATTGGTTATTTACCCAATTTCTTTTCTCCAAATCAAATTGTAATAAGGATTTAAAAATTTTTCTTTTTAAGCTTCTTCCTTTTGATAGCTCCCACCGTTTTTATAGTTTATCGTTTCCCTCCACCCCTTGTACTGTCTACTTATTTCAGTAAGTGGCACTATTTACTCACTTGCTTTTCACTTTTAAGTTCTTCCTCAAGGTGGTGTTAAAAGGGAGACTTACTCTAGCAAGAGATGAATGAGGTCACAGCTTTTGAGGTGTCAGGTTATGTTGGGCTTTTCTATAGATCATTAAAAAGCCATTGGAAAAACTTCAGTTGTTTTACTCTGAGATGGGGAACTATTAGAAAGTTTTGAGCAAAGGAATAATATAATCTGAATAAATTTTTAGCCAGGAATGTTGGGTTGATGTGTGGAGAACAGGTTGAAGGACAGAATATTTGGAAACAGGTAGACTAGTTGGGAGAAATCATAGTAGTACAAGAAAAAGACATAGGTATCTTGCACCAAGAAATGGGATTTCCTGATCATATTAATAAACATTTTAAGATTAATAATCCTCAGCACTGAATATATAGAGGAATGGGTCTTACTGTTGAAATGTAAATGAAGGTGATTTGGAAATATTTAACTTAGTAAAGAAAGTTAAATTCCAATACATTCGTTTTATATAATGCTAGGCAGATGTTCATATTAATAGGTCTCGGTGTGTGTGTGTATATACATACACACATACACTATATATATAGTGTTATGTGTGTGTGRGTACACACCCACATATATATAATCATGAAAAGATAACCACTAAATTTTAGTTAAAAAGAAAAGCAGCACTAGTGACTAAATTGTGGTTACATCCTTAATATTTGAATTGTTACAAGATTATTTATTCTAGATTTTTATATGAACCCATATAGAAAAAGGTAGTGGTTGACAGAAATTTCATTCATTATACTTAGTCAGATTTTTATGATGCCAACATTATCTTGAAAGATTGTTTAATACATCGTTAATATGATAAAATTATTTCTTATCTGTTTTGTTTTAGATATTTAAAGAGATATAAATTATTTTAAGGTAAATTCTAGAGGCCCTAAGGGTTTCCATTAGAAAATACATGAGAAAATTCCATATGATTAGCATTTTATTAGGTAATATAGATGATACAGAAATATAGCAGTTTCTTTTCTTAACTAATAATCAAGTGGGATGGGTAAAATGAAATAATACATATATATGTGTGTATAAATGTGCATACATACATGAGAAACTTATTGATCTGAWTCTAGGAATTTGTCTTAAGGAGATAATTGACAAATGTGCCACAACAGATATATTGTCATATTCATAGCAGTGTCTGTAATAGTAAAAAATTGCCTATAACCCAAGTGACTATCAGTGCATATTAAATAAATTGTGATAAATAGAATATTGTGTTATAATTTAAGATAATTATTTAGCTGTATAGTTATTAATAGGTAAGATGTACACAATCTGTTAAGTTGGGGGAAAACAAGTTGAGTGCATTTATAATATCCTGTTTCTATATATGGAAAGGCTGGCCTAGGCAAAGTAAGGAGGAGGGTAGATTTGGAGAGGCAACGAATAGAAGCTATTTCCCAGCTTTTTTTTGACTCAGATTCTCTTTCTATATTTAAAAATAATTACAGTGAAATTTCTTATACAGTGTTGGGATAATATATGATGTGTTTTTTTAAGAAAACGTATCTTTATTAGTATAGTATTAAAAGTTGGTGCATTCTGTGTCCAAGTTACTTTTGACACATAGTAAGGAAACTTTCTAATGATTAAAACTGTTTAACAGAATGAAATTCTAAGCATTCAGTATCACTATATAACTATTTAGCAGGTATACTGAAAATAAAGGTTTGTTCTCATTTAGTCTTGCTAGTTCCTGGATTTAGCAAGTAACAGATTGATTTTATGACCTTGTAGACAAAGCTTATCCCTAATCCTGAGAGTTTATGAAACTCCTTTATAAGAAAGATAGCATCCTGTGTGTGGTTGTGTGTGTGTGGTTGTGTGTGTGTGTGTGTGTGTGTGTGTGTGTATGTAAAATTGCACATTATAATTTGACAACATTTAGGAATGCCATCATTCATTGCTTTAAAAATGTATGTTTTATTCCTACTTAGGCCGAATACACCAAGCAATGGTAACATCTTTAAATGAAGATAATGAAAGTGTAACTGTTGAATGGATAGAAAATGGTGACACAAAAGGCAAAGAGGTATGATCACTGGGTTAAATTTTATTTCTTGTCCTGCTGTCAAGATTCTTAATGTAGGGCTGGGGTGGCAGAGAGCTTGCTTTGCATGTATGAGGCAGTGAGTTTGATCCTTAGCACTGCATTAAAAAAAATAAATAAACAAAATAAAGGCATGCTGTCCATCTACAATTACCAAAAAGAAAGATTTTTAATATAGCAAGACATTGTAGCACATGCCTATAATCCCCAAAACTCTGGAAGCTGAGGCAGGAGGAGGATCATAAGGACTGGGATGTATGTAGCTCAGTGGCAAACTGCCACTGGGTTCAACTCCCAATACCACACACACACACACACACACACAAAATTCTGAGTATGAAAACAGAAAAGTATATTATTTTTATATGATACATGTATTTTTATCATTTCTTAAAAACTTTGGCATGATTAAAATTTTTCACTCAAAGAAAACTTAGGCTTTCCTTACATATCTTATTATGATTACACATGTCCTGTTAATTATTAGATGGAAGTGTATTATTTTAACCCAGCTCACAACATTTGAAAGTTGCTAGAAGCTAATTATGTGGTTCTGTTTGTCACTGTGCTACTAGCAATTCATATAATCAAGAGCATATATGCAGCAGGTGTGGTGGTGCACACCTGTAATCCCGGACACTTGAGAGGCTGAGGCAGGAGAATTACAAGTTGGAGGCCAGCCTTAGCAACTTAGTGAGACCTTATCTCAAAAATAGTAAGGGCTGGGGATGTGGCAAGTATAAGATCATATGCATGATGGTGTTAAAAAATTACACATAACCTAAGTGGCCATCAGTACATATTAAATAAATTATGAAAATATAATAGAATATTTAAATAAAAATAGAGTATGCTTTTGAGATTTTTAAAAACAATTTTGTTTGCAAGGTACTGCTGCTCATTAGGTTGAAATCATTTATTTACTGTGTATAAATTCATTTGAAAAAGAAAAGGTTAATTGTCAAAATACTTTCTCAAAATGTACATGTGTGTGTTTTAAACAGATTGATCTGGAGAGCATCTTTTCACTTAACCCTGACCTTGTACCTGATGAAGAAATTGAACCCAGTCCAGAAATACCTCCACCTTCAACATCTTCAGCCAAAGTAAACAAAATTGTGAAGGTTAGTGATGAAAATTTATAACAGGGAATATATGTATATTTGCGTGTCTTCAGGCTTAAAATTGGAAGGCTGTGTATATTTTAAAAGTATTGATTGACTTTTTTTAAAAAAAGTTCTTTCCATCATCCACATTGATGGAAAACACACACTTTCATGGACTGAGTTTGTCTAATTTGAAATTATGATAATCATTAGATAAGATCAAAGGAATTCCTTGCCTAATTAGGATTTTTTCTGAGACTTATAGCTTCAGAAAACATCGAAGTTAGAACCATTTGTAAATAAAAATAACTTTATTATGAATAATGAATACCTGCCCTAATAGTCTTATGAAGTTATAATTCTGCTATTTATGTTTATTAAAGAAAGATGAGAAATGATAGGAACTGTTTAAACTACTTGTGTATCATGTATGAAGATAAACTTTAAAACCATGGTATATTCTTCCTAGCAGTTTATCTTTTTATAAAAGCTAAAAGTACATTACTTTTAGTATTTCAAAAAATAATTCTTCTTCCATTCTCTCAACCCATTACCTTTAACACTTGGTATGAAAATTCAACATCTTAAAAATCACTTAGTCCTGTAAATGTTACTGAATCTGCAATTCTTTGCACTTAATTTTTAAAAAGCATTCATTGACACTTCCCCCTCCCCCCATATTGTGCAGGTACTGTGCTGGACAGAATACAAAGATGAATGTGACGTGGCTTTCAGCTTATAGGAACTCAATATTTTAGAGGGAGGATATACATAAATATCTAAATATATTATGATAGAGACAATAATGGAAACAAAGCATTCTGTTTTGTAAACTCCGCATATAAACATGTCATATTTTTCAGTTCATGTAACTTAAGCATATTGAAAGTTACTGTTTAGAGGTCAGTAGTTTTCACTTGTAAGTGGACTGTTTTTCATATTCAGCTTCAAAATCTTGGAGGATCTTCAGGTTTATCTTTCTTGCTGTATCATTAGGAACCTTTGTTTACCATTAGAGTCATCTGGATTTTTTTTTTTTTTTGGTGGTGCTGGGAATTTGAACTCAGGGCCTTGTGCATACAAGGCAAGCACTCTGCCAACTTAGTTCTATCCCCAACCCCTCACCTGGATAATTGTTAAAGATACTGTCTGGGCCTCACTCCCAGAGATTCAGTGTTATTTAAAAGGAGGTCTTAACTAGCATTATTGCCCCTCAGATAGTATCCATGTCATCTGAATATGCAGCCAGGACTGAGTATAGCTGTATTATTTGATACTTTTGAAATGAATTAAATGAGGTCTGTAGTAAATAAATAATAGAATCAAAAGTTTGTTGCCCTAATCTATGCAGTATCCAAGTCTTCAAATCTCCTAAGAAAACCTTTTTATGGTAAACAACAAAACATATTTCATAGTATTTCAGTATTTAATTTTAACAAAGGGCGCTAAGCTGTCTAGAACTAGTATTTTATTAATTATCCTGATAACCAAAATTAAACTTACTGATTCCCAAATCCAAAATGCTCAGATATCTGAGACTTTATGAGAAACAACATGATGTTACAAGTGGAAAATTTTATTCCTGACCTTGTGTGGTGAGTCACAGTCAACATGCAGTTGCACCAAAAACACAGTATAAACTAACATCTATGTCTATTGTATAAACAGTGTATATGAAATACACATGAATTTGGTGTTTAGAATTGGTCACCAAGGTATCTCTTTATGTATAAGTAGATATTCCAAAACATGAAGAAATCTGAAACACTTCTGTCTCAATTATTTAGGAGGGTTGGGGCTGTAGTTCAGTGGTAGAGTGCTTGCCTTGCATGCATGAGGCACTGGGTTTGATCCTCAGCACCACATAAATAAATAAAATAAAGGTATTGTGTCCATCTACAACTAAAAAAATAAAAAGTATTTAGGAAAAGAGAGACTCAATCTCCATGAAGTTTTGGCAGAATAACATTATAACAATGTTACTTAACCTCTCTTTACTTCAGTTTCCCTGTCTGTAAAATGGGAAGAACAATAATAGTGACTTCATAGGGTTGTATAAAATAAATGAATTAATACATATATAAAGTCCTAAGAGCAATGCCTTGGTCATGTTAATTCCCTAATAATTTGGGGGTGATGGTGGAGGGGAATATTCTGTACGAAAGAACTTGAATATTGATAATCATAGGAATTCATTTTAGTTTTTCTCCATTTAGTTTAACATTACTGTTTGTATACTTTGATCCATTCAAGAAGCTGAGATCATGATCTGGAAGTGAAGAGAAAAAAATACAATGAACATCTTTTTTTTCCCCTATAGAATCGAAGAACTGTGGCATCTATTAAGAATGACCCTCCTCCAAGAGATAATAGAGGTAAAGTAAAACTTTGTCTCTTAATCTTACCCATTGACCATTCAGTAAGGATTTGACAAGGTAAATAAAAAATAAATATTACCTTGATATTGTTTACTTAAAGTTTATATCCTCCTGCTTCTCCCCTGCCTTCTGTTTTCTTGGTGCTGGGATCGAATCCAGGGTCTCACATATACTAGGCAAACACTCTACCACAGAGCTCTATTCTCAGGCCATATGTGTCTTAATTTTAAAAATTTTTTAATTTTTCCTGATTTTCTTACATAATAATGTCAATAATATTTTTAAAAAAGATTTAAAACATGTAATGAATATAAACCCCATGAAATGTGTAATTTTTTTAGTCAGCTCAGTAAATTTGAAATTTTTTTTTAATTTTTTTTTTTTAAAGATAGAGAGAGAAAGAGAGAGAGAGAAGAGAATTTTATTTTTAATATTTATTTTTTAGTTCTCGGCGGACACAACATCTTTGTTGGTATGTGGTGCTGGGGACCGAACCCGGGCCGCACGCACTCCAGGCGAGCGTGCTACCAATTGAGCCACATCCCCAGCCCAAATTTGAAAATTTGGGCTGGTAGAGTGCTTGCTTAGCATGTGGGAGGCACTGGTTTGATTCTCAGCACTGCACATGAATAAATAAATAAAAAGTCCATCAACGACTTAAAAACATTTAAAAATAGTAATAATTTTGCAAATTTGAGGAGAGCATTATGAGAAAGAAGGAATGGGGAAGGAAGGAGTCAGCTGATTGTGATGATTGAAATGTTTACCTTAGGGGCTGGGGATGTGGCTCAAGCCTGGCATGCGTGCGGCCCAGGTTCGATCCTCAGCACCACATACAAACAAGGATGTTGTGTCCGCCGAAAACTGGGAAATAAATATTAAAAAATTCTCTCTCTCTCTCTCTCTCTCTCTCTAAAAAAAAAAAAAAGTTTACCTTAGGGCTGGGGCTGTAGCTCAGTGGCAGAGCACATGCCTAGCACCTGTGAGGCACTGGGTTCGATCCTTAGCACCACATAAAAAATAAATTTTAATCTATTTTTAAATAAATTAAATAATAAATGAAAATTTAAAAATAAAGACATGCTGTCCATCTAAAACTACAAAAAAAGTTAAAAAAAAAAAAAAAGGTTTGTTAATTTCCTTGCCAGGAAGCTTCCAAAAAGTATGATGGGAGTTAGCAGAAGAAAAATCTGAACAGGCATAAATTGTAGTTAAATTCCAGTCTTTCATATGCTTTCAGCCAGGAAATGTAAAGAATAATTAATTTCTTTTCTACTGTTCAGCAGTTTAAATTTAGTATTTCTGATTGTCCCTGTATATGGGACAGGATGGGCCAGAGTTATCAGAAGAGAGGTAGGAGGGGAAAGTCATTCTTTTAAACATTGTCCTTTGAGTCTTGTGAAAGTTTATATTTCTTTTTTTGGTAATACTGTACTTTATTAATTTATCAGTATTGTAGGTGTTAGGTTGCCTTTTTAAAAATATATATATTTTTTAGTTGTAACTGAACAAAATATCTCTATTTTATTTATTTATGTGATGCTGAGGATCCAACTCAGGGCCTCTCAACGTGGGAGGCAAGTATTCTACCGCTGAGCCAAAACCCCAGCCTTATATTTCTTTGTAGTGTGCTATTATATTTAATTTCATGTTTCTTTTTCCAATTTAATAACATCTAGAGTGGGGGAAATTCTCTTTAAGATTTATGTATTTAAGGAACAAAGAATGGGATTTGTAATACAAAGAGGTCTGGAAGGACTTAAGTTTTGCTTTCTTTGTATCTAAATAAGATCAATTTTTCAAAACAAAGCTTTTAAAATTTATATTTTGTACACATATTTAAGAGAAGTTCCTTTGTGGTCTGAAATCTTGACATGGAGGGGTTCTCACATAATTTTAAAACTATTATTAAAAAATCAAATTTGCCTTTATTTTTTATGCAGATTTTACAGATTGAGTTTTATAACTAAAACTACATTGGTGGAAGCTACTCTGCACATATTAATTTGAATCTTTTTTAAAGCAGTGTCAGTTTATTGAACATAATTCATTATTTTATATTGCTTATACAGAAATAGAAAACTTCAGTAATTTGCTAAATGCAACATTTAAGAATCAGAAATTTTTTGTTTGTTTTTGGTTTTATTTGTGTCTCTGTTTTACCAAAGTTAGCTTTTACTGATTTTTGATCTGAATTTAAAATTTCTTTGACTTACAGTGGTTGGTTCTGCACGTGCACGGCCTAGTCAGCTTCCTGAACAGTCTTCCTCTGCACAACAGAATGGTAGTATTTCAGATATATCTCCAGTTCAAGCTGCAAAAAAGGAATTTGGACCTCCTTGTATGTAAATCAGTATCAAGGATTCAGTCATTTTTGGCATACATGTTTTCTCTCTTGGTCATTCTTATAAGTTCCCAAATGGTAAAGTCTACCTCTAAGTTTTATTGCAGATTTCATTTTACTACTCTAGAATATTTTTTATTTTTGCCACTTTAAGTCTGTTAATGGCATTTTTAAATGTATATTTTAGAGAAAAAATTTTGTGTGACATAAATTTCTTCAGTTACTTTGAATTTAAAATTCTGGTCAAATAATAATTTGTCAAGGCATTATAGGAAAAAGTCTTAGGCTTCTTAGTACTTTCATTTTGAAAGATCTGTGATTTTTAAACCAAGAGATGACATGTATCAATATGTTTGAGTCATTTTTCTTGACTCTGTTTTGTATATTGTCCTGTTCCTAGCTTTGTTAAAGCAGCTCATAAGTAAAGTTCACATAGGTGTAATTGGCATTGCATGCCTTGTCATATGTATTTATTTTTTTGTATATGTGATGAAATTATTCATAATTTTCTGTAAGTACAGTATTCTAAAAAGAAAACTATATTTCTGCAGCTCATCTTTTTCTTTCAGCACGTAGAAAATCTAATTGTGTGAAAGAAGTGGAAAAACTACAAGAAAAACGAGAAAAAAGGAGATTGCAACAGCAAGAACTCAGAGAAAAAAGAGCTCAGGTTTGTAACAGAAATATATTTTGTTTCCAACCAAAGATTAAACTATATCAGTGAATGTGATTAACTTGTGAAAAGTAATAGAGCTATTCATTTTAAGTATTTAGAAAATTCCTTAAATTGATATTGAGGAATGAAATAAGCTTTTGTGATAACAAATTGCCATAGCAGGTTTTTATTGCATGTACTTTTTACATGGTTTAGTGAGTATGTGTTGGCTTCAAAGTTTGTTCTTTTTCAATAATACGCTATTATGTTACAGAATTCTAATGTGTATGTTATGTTTATGACTAATGGTCTTTTAATTTTAAAAAGATCTAAAACTACATTTGGAAAAACAACCCAGGAAGGTACATGATTGTACTATAAATTTCATTATTGGTTTTCCATGATTAAGTTCTATGTGGCATAGTKAAATGGGGTAAATTTTGTGTTTCAGTTTATACTAAATATTAAGAATGAATCTCTACCTTGTGTTCTTTTCTTCCTTCAAATGATAGTAAAACTTTTTAATAGCAATGGTCTTTTATCCCTTTATAAGGTCTTTGTGTTAGAAATTTTGTTTTTAAACCTATTAACTCCTCTGTTATGCTTTTTTTTATATCTATTATAGTCTAAGAACTTGTTTCCTATAGTAAAACATCAAGTTGTTTATTTAGTAGTATTTTCAAATGGTATTAGGTTGCCAATTCATGTGAAATTGTGGACCCAGTGTAATATTCAACCTGAATAAATCAGCTTACACCTGAAAGTTACCTGAGAATGTCTAGTTGGATTTTGAAATAAATAATACACAAAACAGATATTTACTGATACTTAGCATAGATGCCACCAAGTGTTTTCTGTGTATACTTCATAATACTTAAACATATATCTCTCTGTTTGCTTTATTTTTAACATCACATTCTGTTTTTGAGTTCATATAGTTGGTATTATTTCCTGTCAGGTCAAATGAAAGTGAGTTTCAATAATAGTTCTGAAGTTTACATTCAAAGCAATCCTGAATATGATGTATGAAAAAAATCTGACTTAGAATATTCAGTCATTTATTTCATGGTTTGGCCTGCTATTTGTAACAATCTGAAGTTTTGCAATTTTGAAGCAAATAGGTAAACTGCAATTAGCATTTGATGATTTAAAGTTAAAACATTTTTTAAAAAATTATCTTGGCTTTTGATTCTTTTTTAAGTTCTATGTCCTATTACTTTTTAGCTGTTTTATAATATGTTAGAGTTTTTTAAAAATTACTTTTAGAGAGTCAATAAATATAGGACATGAATCTAAATGAATTCACATTCCACTTTGCTGAAACACTAGATGAATCACACAGAAGAATTTGAATTGCTTAGAAGAAGAATTTGAATTTAAGAATGAATTTTTCTAATATTTCAACTTTAGAGTTTTGTCATTGTTTTTAATGAGTGCTATTTCTCTTCTCCAATTTCTAGGATTAAGTATATAACAGATGATTTTTGGTATATAGTTAAAGGTGGTTTTAAGAATGATTCTTTGGAGTTAAAAGGATACATGTTTACTAATGGAATTGTATTTGCTATCAAAGTGATCTGAACATAATAAACATGAACTCTGCACTATCATAGACCACATTTTCAGTTCAGGTTGGGTCTTAGTTATGACAAATGATACTTAATTGAATTTTCAAACCATGTAATATAAATGTAACAAATATAGCATTATTATAATTATAATAAATGGCAAATGCTTTGTCTTCTAATAGGATGTTGATGCTACAAATCCAAATTATGAAATTATGTGTATGATCAGAGACTTTAGAGGAAGTTTGGATTATAGACCACTAACAACAGCAGATCCTGTAAGATTCTTTGTTTTATTAAACTATTGCTGAGGGAGTGTTTAATGCTATCAATGAAAAAACGTGTATTGATACCTACTAAATTCCTATTGTATTTAGCTAAATGTTTTTTCCTTTTGGGGGCTCATTTCCCGTATTTTAAGAGGAAAATCAAGAAATCATCTACTTTTCTGTACATCTTCCATAATTTTAAATACTAGAGGTGCTGCCCATAGAGATGACCCTTTTCAAAGAAAAGCATGCCTTTGGAAGGGCAGAACAATAGCTAAGATAATGACATAAGAACCAGTTTCCTTCTAATCATCTCTCGTAATTTGGTTTCAGTTATAAGCTTATTGTGTCTTTGACTTGGACTGTAGATTTCACTACATTTCCATTTTATTATTATTTAATTTTTTATTCGAAAATAAATATTATTCTGGCTTTTAACAGTAAATGATGTTTGTTGAGGAGCTACAGTGGACCAAAACTCCAGTGCTGAAAATTTTTCTGTAGTCTTACTGCTTGTTTCCTGTTGAGGAGTGAGAATTTGTTGCACAGAAAATAATTTTATGTGTAATGTGAAAAATAATCCATCTGACCTAGCATATATAGAATGTGTTAGGCTTATGTATTATATAGGATTTCATAAAATTGTCACAACATTTGTATCCCATATATTTCAGTCCTTGCTAGTCCTCCATGTCTTTTACCTCCTGCATCTTGAGCTCACGTTTCACAACAAATTGACCAACTTTCTGAAATGGGCTGATGATAGTAAATGTTACTGGCTTTCAATCCCTGCTTCATCTTATGAGAACATAAGTTTTATGAAAATAAAATTTGTGCAAAATAGTTGTCATATTTATGAAATTGTTCAAATTTTGCTTGGTATTCTTTTGAGAATCCATTTTTTTTCTATAGTGATCTTTGCAAACAACTTTCCTTATCATCCTAGAAATATGCTAGTTGATAGAATAAAATTTTTACTTTAGTTGTATACAATTTATCTTGAAGTGAATAAGGCACCTTCTTGACATAAACTTAACGCTAAGAACATTAGAACCCTCTACAAAATTTTTTACATAGGGCTGGGGTTGTAGCTCACTTGTCTTGCACATGTGAGGCCCTAGGTTCAATTCTCAGTACCACATAAAAATAAATATATAAAATAAAGGTATTCATGTACAACTAAAAAAAACTTATTAAAAAAATAAAAAATGAAAGGTCAAGGAATGTAACTTAGGGTAGAGTATCCCTGGGTTCAATCCCCAGTACCCCCCCTCAAATATTTAAAAAAAAAAWTTTTTTTAACTTATAGTAATGGTTTACCAAAAAGAAAATGAGCAAGTTTCCATTACACTCAGAACTTTAGAAATAATTGTGCCTGACAAGTATTAAAATTTAAATTTAAGCAAAGCTAATTTGTTTTTTGAACYTACTTATGCTGCTTACATATTTATAAAACTGATGGAGAAAATTACATTGACTTTCTGGCATTTTATATACCACTGATAATCACTTAAATAAGACTTTTTATTCCTAGATTGATGAACATAGAATATGTGTTTGTGTAAGAAAACGACCACTCAATAAAAAAGGTATGGTGCTTAATGAACCCTATAAAGTTGAATTTGTCTTATTTGCAATGTATCTTAATAATAGTACAAATCAAATTGGTTTGAAAAAGTTCAATGTAAATAATTTCATTTGTATGTTAACTATTATGCAGATTTCTATGACTACACCTGTTGGTCTGTCACTTCTATAAATCATTGCCAGCTGGGCCAGGCATGGTGGTGATGGTGCACACTTAAAATCTATGTGAAACAGGAGGCTAAGACAGTAGGATCACAAGTTCAAGACCAGTGTCAGCAATTTAGTGAGGCCCTAAGCAACTTAATAAAACCCTGTCTCAAAAATAAAATAATAAAGAAAACCTGAGGATTGAGCCTCTGGGTTCAATCCCAGATACTGCCCCCCGTGTTCCCCCCAAAAAAGCCATTTCTGATTCTTGGTTTATAGAAATCTTGTTTTAAACTGTTGTTGAAATAGTCTTGACTTATTTGAGTTACTGAATTTTTTAAGGGGGTATTTTCTTAATTTTTACAATTTTTACTACTTTTATCTAAATTCTTACTACTTAAGCTGGTTGAGGAAGTTTGAGTCAGGAGGATCACAAGTTTGAGGTCAAGCCTGGGGAACATARTGAGACTCTGTCTGAAATACAATAAAAAGGGTTGGGAATATAACTCAGTGGTAGACTACCCCTGTATTCAATCTCCCCAGTGCTACCCCTCTCCCACCCCCACCCCCCAAAAATCTTGCTACTTAGGTACCTTAATTTAAATGCTATGAGAATTAATGGGCAATGATTTTCACTTATTTTTTTAGAAACTCAAATGAAAGATCTTGATGTAATCACAATCCCCAGTAAAGATGTTGTGATGGTACATGAACCTAAACAAAAAGTAGATTTAACAAGGTACCTAGAAAACCAAACATTTCGTTTTGATTATGCCTTTGATGACTCAGCTCCTAATGAAATGGTTTACAGGTAGGTGAATTTGTTTTAAATCAGAATCTTGTTCCTATACTGTGCGTGTGTTCACCACTTCCCTGAAACTTAAATTGCATTTGATGTAGCTCTATAGAGCTGTAATGTGCTTTTTCATTCTGAGTGTAAATAAAGACAATGTAAAAAACTCTGTAATATTGGGGTTGGGGTTGTGGCTCAGTGGTAGAGTGCTCACTTAGCATGCTCGAGGCACTGAGTTCAATCTTCAGCACCATATAAATGTAAAATAAAGATGTTGTGTCCACTTAAAACTAAACAATAAATATTAAAAAATTCCCCCAAATTCTGAGAGTACTAATGCTTGTTCTCTTTAATGCTTCCCCCAAATATACTTTTCTTTGCCAATTGCTTATTACACACCTCCCCCACCCCACCCCCAACCCCATACATGGAGAAGAAATTTCTGGAAAGCATTGTTATAACCTTTAAGTAATGGAATGTAGTATGAAGAGAACTTTACATTTTAATCCCTGCACTAGGAATAAATTTGAAATACCTGTTGTTATACATTAATCATCATTTGTTTAAAAGTATTTAGCATTTACTGCCACTTAAGTTAAAAACATTCTATATCTACTATTTAACGTTTGCTTAATATTTTCATCTTTAAGCTTGTGGGTAGTTTTTTTGGGGTATATGGTTTTAATATGTGTTTATTATGTTTATGTATTCAGCTTATAGACAATTCAAAGTTATATACATGAATATCCCACATTCTTGTCAAATGTAGATCGTTTTCAGTTTGCAAAGTTTCATTTCTAGAAACTAACATTAGTTTTAGCAGCATTGTTATTTTATTCTATGTAAAACTGCTTTGCAGTTGCTTGAATGTACCATGTTTTTTTTCCCCTTTATTTTATACAGATGCTTAGAAAGCAGAAGAATTAACAAGAGTCTTAAGAATTGAAAGTATTACTACATATGAAATATAGTTAAGACCAACTTCATTGATCTTAAGCCAGTAAACTGGGAGTTCATTTGTAAAATGAACAAAATTAAAGAACATATTAATGCTAGATATATTGGGAAGAATATATTTAAATAGAGAATTGTAATAGCAATTTTTTTTTTTAGCTTTCTGCAAATACAATTGTATCCTCATTTACTTTCCTACCCCTGCCTCATAAAATTTAAGCCTGTTGGACTTTTAAAAATTTATTTATTTATTTTGTAGATAGACACATACCTTTATTTTTATTTTTATGTGATGCTGCAGATCAAACCTGGTGCCTCTCATGTGCTAAGCAAGTGCTCTACCACTGAGCCACAACCCCAACCCAAGCAGTTTGACTTTTATAATAGTTTTTAAGTAATTATTATAAACATGTTTCTGTATATGATAGATTTAATAAACAGTTTGTATTTCACATTGCATTTTACGCTTCTTGACATTACCAGTATTTATCCTCTCTCTTTCATATTTTTATGGATTGAGAAATTATATATATACATACATATTTTATAAATACACACACACACACACACACACACACATAATTTTTTAAAAATTTTGATCTGATCACTCTTCAGGTTTATTTCTAGTTCTTTTTGACCAAAGGTTTTTCCTTTTCTTTTTGTTTTGTACCTTTTCCAATTTGGCCTTGAAAATTTTAAGCAGAGCTATCCAAAGTGTTCCATTTGTAGGTTTATTTTCTAACATACATTTTATGTTCAGTGAGGAATTATTTATCCTTCACCGTTATATTGTTTTATTTTATATTTATGTTATTTAATTTTTGTGGTGGTAAGGTTCAAACACAGGACCTCACACATGCTAGGTAATGCTTTTAACTGAGTTACATCCCCAGTTACCCCTTTTTATTTTAACAGTGGATTTTACCAATATGTTTGAGAAGCAATCTAAGCCATATATTTTGGTATTCTTGTCCTGAATCAAAACTATAAGCTCAGAACTCAGTGTCCTATAAGTAAGTTTTCTTTTTAAAAAATATATATTTTTTAGTTGTAAATGGACATAATACCTTTATTTAGTATTTTTTATGTGGTGCTGAGGATTAAACCCAGTACCTCACACGTGCCAGGCAAGTGCTCTACCACTGAGCCACAACCCCAGCCCCTGTAATTTTTTTTATATTTTTTCCCCAAGTATAAATTATTTGCCCAGAGTCAAGGTAATAATTGTTTTTCTACTTACTTAGAAGGTCTAAAAATAATGTTTATACAGTTTTTTCCCCCATTGACCCTTCTCTGTTGAGATTACCACTCTTATTCTGTTTTAAAATTGTAATTGATTATTTTTTATTTTTATTATATGTGTCTTATTATTCCCACCAATGTTTATTATGAAATTATACCTTAAAAACTTTTAAGCTAGGTGCAGTGGCACATATCTGTAATCCCAGTGGCTCAGGAAGCTGAGGCAAAAGGATTATAAATTCAAAGCCAGCCTCAACAAATTAGTGAGACCCTAAGCACCTTAGTTAACTCTGTGTTTAAATAAAATACAGAAAAGGGCTAGGAATGTGGCTCAGTGGTTGAGTGCCTCTGAGTTCAATCCTTGGTACAAAAAAAAAAAAAAAAAAAAAAAATTGAGAAATTCTTACATGGTTCTTTAAAATTTTTTAATAGAGATTTTTAAAAAATCTTGCCATAAACTTTGTTATTTGGTATTACTTTTATGTATTTGCTTAAGTATTTGTCACATATTCTGACTGATGCATTTTATTTTTAAGGTTTACTGCTAGACCACTAGTAGAAACTATATTTGAAAGGGGAATGGCTACATGCTTTGCTTATGGGCAGACTGGAAGTGGAAAAACTCATGTAAGTAATTCATTAAAATTTTATCGCAGCATGATACTATAGTTTCTTTTCCTTATAACTTAATTCTATAATCAAATTCTTAAGATATATTCCTGAATAATGTCTATTATTATTTATTTTCTTTTCAAAATAAAGACTATGGGTGGTGACTTTTCAGGAAAGAACCAAGATTGTTCTAAAGGAATTTATGCATTAGCAGGTAAGTGCCCTTTTCATATGTAATTTGTAACATTCTCCTTGGATATTATTCAAGTGGCTTTGAAAGAAAGTTTTTAAATAGCAACTCTAATACTATGCTTAATGGACATTATGCCAGTGGGTTGTCAGATCGAAAAGATCTATAAGATTAAACTTTTGGTGACAAAAATACCGATTACATTTTTGTTGGTAAAATCTGGCACATTGTAGGAGATTAGTGTAAATTGTTGAATGGCTGCATTATAAAAAGCTTCTATTTGGTATGGTTATAAGAATGACCTTATTTTGACCACCTATATATAATTTTAGGTAATTTATAATAATAAGTAGTAGCATTGCCTTATAGAATGTGAAGGAGAATCACTTCTGTTAAAAGTACTTTTTTGTCAAATTAATATTTGCTTTAATTTTCATTTTTAGTATTGATGCTATTATCATCCTAGGTAAAGATTATCTATCTGACTCCTTTACAGATRGAACATTTAAATTGCATTTTAAAAATATTTGCCACTTCTTAACAATTTTCTGTACATGAAATTCTTCACAGCTCGAGATGTCTTTTTAATGCTAAAGAAGCCAAACTATAAGAAACTAGAACTTCAAGTATATGCAACCTTTTTTGAAATTTATAGTGGAAAGGTATGTTGGAACTCTTTTTAAAATTTTTATGATTTTTGTTTAAAACACTAGAAAAACTGGGGATAATAGGAGCATATCTCAACATTGTAAAAGCTATCTATGCTAAGACCCAGACCAACATYATTCTAAATGGAGGAAAATTGAAAGCATTCCCTCTAAAAACTAGAACACGACAAGGATGCCCTCTTTTACCTCTTCTACTTAACATAGTTCTTGAAACTATAGTCAGAGGAATTAGACAAATGGTAGAAATTAAAGGGAATATGGATAGGAAAAGAAGAACTCAAAACTATCACTGTTTGCCGACAACATGATTCTATACATGGAAGACCCAAAAAATTACACCAGAAAATTTCTAGAATAAGTGAATTCAGCAAAAAGTAGCAGGATATAAAATCAACACCCATAAATCAAAGGCATTTCTTTCTGTACATCAGTGATGAATCCTCTGAAAGAGAAATTAGGAAAACTACCCCATTTACAATAGCCTCAAAAAAATAAAATACTTGGGAATCAACGAAAGAGGTGAAAGACCTCTACAATGAAAACTACAGATTGCTAAAGAAACTACAGTCCTTAGAAAATGGAAAGATCTCCCTTGTTTTTGGATAGGCAGAATTAATATTGTCAAAATGACCATCCTACCAAAAGCACTATACAGTTTTAATGTAATTCCAAATCAAAATCCCAATGACACAGTGCCATTTCTCATAGAAATAGAAAAGGCAATCATGAAGTTCATCTGGAAAAATAAGAGACCCAGAATATCCAAAGCAGCCCTTAAAAGAAGAGTGAAGCAGGTGGCATCATTATACCAGACCTTAAAGTATATTACAGAGCATTAGTAACAAAAATAGCATAGTATTGGCACCAAAGTAGTCTTGTTAGACCAGTGGTACAGAATAGAGGACACAGAGACAAACTCACATAAATACAGTTATGTCATACTAGACAAAAGCTCCAAAAACATACATTGGAGAAAAGATAGCCTCTTCAACAAATGGTGCTGGGAAAATTAGAAATTCACATGCAGCAAAATGAAATTAAGCCCCTGTCTCACTATCCACAAAACTCAAAAGTGGATCAAAGACCTAGGAATTAAACCAGAGTCCCTGCACCATATAGAACAAAAAAGTGGGCCCAAACAATCAGTGAGGTGAATAGAGAGTCCATAGAATGGGAGAACATCTTTACTACGCACACATTAGATAGAGCACTAATTTCCAGGATTTACGAAGAACTCAAAAACCTAATTGTCAAAAAAATAAATAATCCTATCAATAAATGGGCCAAGGAACTGAACAGACACTTCTCAGAAGATGATATACAGTCAGTCAACAAATATATGAAGAAATGTTCATCTCTAGTAGTTAGAGAAATACAAATCAAAACTACTCTAGATTTCATCTCACTCCAGTCAGAATGGCAGCTATCAAGAATACAAACAACAATAAGTGTTAATGAGGAAGTGGGAAAAAAGGCACACTCATATGTTGCTGGTGTTACTGCAAATTGGTGCATCGAATGTGGAAAACGGTATGGAGATTCCTTGAAAAACTTGGAATGTAATCACCATTTGACCCAGCTATCACTCCTGGTTTATACCCAAAGGACTTAAAAACAGCATACTATAGGGACACAGCCACATCAATGTTTATAACAGCACAATTCACAATAGCTAAATTGTGGAACCAACCTAGATGCCCTTCAGTAGATGAATGGATAAAGAAAATGGTGTGTGTGTGTGTGTGTGTGTGTGTGTGTGTGTGTGTATATACCCACACACACATTGTGGAATATTACTCAGAATTAAAAGAGAAAAAAATCACGGCATTTACAGATAAATGGATGGAGTTGGAGAATATCATGCTAAGTGAAGTAAGCCAATCCCCAAAAAACAAATGTCGAATGTTTTCTCTGATATGTGGATGCTGATCCATAATAGGGATGGTGAGGAGCATGAGAGGAATAGAGGAACTTTAGATAGGGCAAAGGGGAGAGGAAGGGGAAGGGAGGGGGCATGGGAGTAGGAAAGGTGATGGAACAAGAAGGACATCATAGCCCTAAGTACATGTATGAAGACACGAATGGTGTGACTCTTTGTGTATAATCATAGACATGATAAATGGTGCTCTTTATGTATACCATGAATTGAAATGCATTCTGCTGTCATGTATAATAAATTAGAATAAATTCAAAAAACGTTTTAAAATTGAAATAACATTTTCAATTCAGTGTCACTGGGCACATTCATGTTGCTTTAGAGCTATTGTCACAAACTTTTTATATAGATTTTGAATGTTAGACTTTGTCTTGAGGTTTTTAAAATGTCATTGAAGCCCTTAATATGTTGAGCTTTTTTATTCTAATATAATTATTRCTTTCCTCTGTAAAATAATTTTTAGGCTCTGAGTGACCCATTGTTATAGAACTGCTTCTGTTTATTTTAAAGCTAGTTTTCTAAAATGGATGTGATTTTTCATAGGTATTTGACTTGCTAAATAGGAAAACAAAATTAAGAGTTCTAGAAGATGGAAAACAGCAAGTTCAAGTGGTGGGCCTACAGGAACGGGAGGTTAAATGTGTTGAAGATGTACTGAAACTCATTGATATAGGCAACAGTTGCAGGTAAATATATTAATTAAGAAAGGGAAACTTCAATTTTAGGTAATTGTTACACAAACACAAACTAAGGAGTTCTCCATTGCACCTTGGGAGTAAAATTCCTTGTTCTTTGACATCTATTATATTGATATCATACTACAGTTAGGAAAAGCTAGGTAAAGTTGTAACTATCTGGTATCTCTTCTGTATTTAAATTGTAAAAACTGGCTAAATAGATTTTTGTTGTTGCTTTTTTAAAATGAAGATGTCATGTTAATATGTAAATTAAAATTTTAATGTATCAACATGTCCTTAATCACATTATAGAACATCTGGTCAAACATCTGCAAATGCACATTCATCTCGGAGCCATGCAGTGTTTCAGATTATACTTCGAAGAAAAGGAAAACTACATGGCAAGTTTTCTCTCATCGATTTGGCTGGAAATGAAAGAGGAGCTGATACTTCCAGTGCAGACAGGCAAACTAGGCTTGAAGGTGCTGAAATTAATAAAAGCCTTTTAGCACTCAAGGTAAATTAAATATATTTAATTATGAAATGTCTATTATCTGTTATTATTATTATTATTATTATTATTGTAGTTGTAGATGGACAGCAAGCAAGCCTTTATTTTGCTTGTTTATTTTCATGTGGTGCTGAGGATAGAACCCCATGCCTCACACATGCTAGGCAAGTGGTMTGCCCTGAGCTACAGCCCCCAGCCCTACTTTTTAATTTTGTTTACTCAGTTGCCAAATAATAGTACTTACTTTTTCCAATAAAAACACATTTTCAAACTGGTGGGATAAAATGGTATATGGGTTGGCACACCAATTCAATTCTGAGGCTGCCCAGATAGATTCTAAAAAGCCTTCTTCATCAGATATATTTTCTTGGGTAGGGTAAGGAACCATACAGTTGAACTAAGAAATAACTTTCTCAGAAAAAAAAAATGTGGAATGGTTTTCAGAAAGTCTGGCCAGGTATATATTATCTTTTCCTTCACTAGAAAAGCAAAGGTTAGAAAGATTTATAGTAAAATATTCTGTATTTTTTTCTTATGTAATGCCACTTTGAAATTTTAACATTTTACAGTTATCCTGTTGCCTGCCACATTTAAACATTAACCATTGTTTCCAGAAGTATTTTTTGAAAGGATAATAAAGTAGATTTTGTGAGTTTTAAAAAAATTTTTAGTTATCAATAGACCTTTACTTATTTATATGTGGTGCTGAGAATTGAACCCAGTGCTTCATATATGCTAGGCAAGTGCTCTACCATGAGCTACACCCCCAGACTTTGTGAGTTTTTTGTTTGTTTGTTTGTTTGCTTGTTTTTGATCTTTTTCTTGAATTAGCGTTCATGGGAATACTTTTACAATGCTGTGAAACTTTTAGAATTTTCAGAGCTCATCAGACCTTAAATGTTAGACTCATCATAAAAGATCTCTTAAAATATGTTACTTAATCACTCTTTTTAAGAAAGTCTAATCTGTGAGTCTTGCTTTCTTAAATTTCAGGAGTGCATCAGAGCCTTAGGTAGAAACAAACCTCATACTCCTTTCCGAGCAAGTAAACTCACTCAGGTGTTAAGAGATTCATTCATAGGTGAAAACTCTCGTACCTGCATGGTAAGTTTATTTTTGTTATATTTCATTTTAATCCTAAAGGAATAACTATGCAATATCTATGGAAAATTTAATGTACATTAGTTACAATCATTTGAATCCTAGATAYAGTTGATATTTAAGATGTGTCCCTGCAAGTCTGATAGAAAGCATTATCTTATTTCCAACATCTGAGTTATCTCATATATATCATGAATGTATAATTTGTTATTAGGTTTTGGTTATCCTGTGTGACAGCACCAGGGTTTATCCTCTGGCAAGATGCTGTTAGAAGAAGTAGGAGGGAGTAGTCACTTGGTATTGTTCCCTGTGTTTGCCTTCATTTTCTGCTGGAGTTTGATCATTTCATGGTGTTTCAGAGAGTTGCTTATATTTTAATTGTATCATTATGTGATTATGGGTATAAGATAGCAAGTAAAATTTTTAAATACCCACTTAAGATTAGACCTAAATGAGCTATTTTTTAGTATTATTGTCTGGATTATTTATGACATTTTATCTTCGCCTTTCCTCCCCCCACCCCCTGTAGATTGCCACGATATCTCCAGGAATGGCATCCTGTGAAAATACTCTTAATACATTAAGATATGCAAATAGGTATGAGATGGTTCTCTATTACGAAATTTGATCTAATTCTAAAATAGGGCAGTATATAATATCTTGTTGTAGGGCAGATTATAGTACATTGTTCTTAAAAATATTTTATAGACTTATTCTTTCATTATATTTTTTTGGTACTGAGGATTTATTTAAGCCAGGGGTACTTTACCACTGAACTACATCCCCATCCCTTTTTGTTTTTTAAGACAGGGTCTCCCTGAGTTGCATAGGGCCTCACTAAGTTGCCAGAGTTGGCTTTGAATTTGTGATCCTCCTGCCTCAGTCCCCCAAGTTGCTAGAATGACAGATGTGTGCTACTTTGCCTGACCACATTTCTTATTTAAGGTGATAATATTTAGAATCAGTTTTTCAATTTGTAAAAACGAGTTGACAAAATGTATCATAGGCTGTTAAAGCAGTTTATTCCTTGGAGTCATGAAAAGCCCTTGGACTTGAATGGGCATATTTATTCTATACCTCCCCTCTGCAACTCTTATTTTGAATGAGTGATTACATAGTTTTAAATTTGTTAGCACCTATTACATTTATGATTTTAATGTAGAGATAAAATTTCTCTTTATGAACTATTTCTAATATGAAGATTGTCTTAATTTTGCTTGACAAAAATATTTTGTCAAGTGTGTTGTATAGTTAGAAAAGCAGCTGTTATCTTCAGTAAAAGTGACCTTTCTGTACTACAACATGTTTGTGTTTTTCCATTTCAAAGTTATATTTTGTAATATTTTACTTTACTTAAATTATGCAAATTCTGCCTCTTGAGACTGAAAAATAAATGAAAGCTACAGGGCCAGTGTATATTTCTTTTAATTGTTTTGCTATAAACTAAAAATTATTCCTGATGATATTAAATGTTATATATAAGGAATATAAAGTTTGAGTGACAAGTGATAGTCTTTCTGGTGTTCTGTATGAATTATATCTTGTTATTCATGTCTGTAATGTGTCCAACTTTAAACAACTGGGTCATTATCGATGGAAGGACAAAATGCATTTAGGCTGTTAAAGCAGTTTATTTCTTGGAGTCATGAAATGCTCTTGGACATGAATGGGTATATTTATTCTATAGCTCCCCTCTGCTACTCTTGTTTTGAATGAGTGATTACATAGTTTTAAATTTGTGAGCACCTATTACATTTATGATTTTAATGTAGAGATAAAATTCCTCTTTATGAACTGTTTCTAATTTCTGATATGAAGATTGTCTTAGTTTTGCTTGGCAAAAGTATTTTGTTTCTTTGTTTTGGAGATGGGATCTTCCTATGTTACCCTTAACTGGGCTCAAACTCAAGATTCTCCATTGTGCCCCAGCATTATTTTTCTCTTTCTCCCTCTCTCTAGTTTTTATTTTTTTGGTAATAGAGATTAAACCCAGGGGATGCTCTACCACTGAGCTATGCCCCCCACCCCACCCCCCTTTTTGGAGGAGCCTAAGTTGACAAGGCTGGTCTCAAATTGTAGTCCTCCTGCTACAGTCTTCCCAGTCACTGGGATTATAGGCATACATCAATGCCTGGCTTGTTCTCTTTTAAAAATAGTTTTAAGCTGTGTGCAATGGCATAGATTTATAATCCCCAGTGAGGCAGCTGAGGCAAGAGGATTGCAATTATAAGGTCAACCTCAGCAATTTAGTGAGACCCTGCATCAAAAATAACAAATAAAAAGGGCTGGGTTTAATTCCCAGTACTGATAAATAAATTAAAAACAAATATATACATACATCCAAAGTTTTACGGCCTATGAATATATCTTTAAGCAGCATAGGATCTATGTTTGGATCATGTACTTTGTTCATTTACGTTTTGTTTCAGCTGAAGAAATTTCAAATGGTAGTAAACATTGGAAAGTATAAACCTATTAATCTTTTGTAAAAAGGTATTAAAATCTAATAGCTATGTTAAAATGTAATAGAACTTTATTTCAAAATTTAATTCCTTTTATTGTTTGAATTTACTCCTAGCTGAAAACTTATTGTACAACTAAGTGATTTTTTTTGTAATTAATTTTTTAGCATGTAGGGTTTTTATCATTAATTTAAAATGCTGCTTATTGAAAATTGTTCACGGACAGATGGGGAACAGCTTAGTGTGGTAGATTCTTGCCATTAGAATTAAAACAAAAAATCTTCATGTCTTAAAACTTTAGACTGAAAAGGATTCCCCCTAATATGAAAATGATAAACATGTTCAATAACCCTTACCTGAAATGTTTTGAGATCAGTAGTGTATTAGATTTTGGGTTTCTTCAAATTTTGGAATATTTACACACACATAAGGAGATATCTTAGGGTGGGATCCAAACATTAGCAAAAACAACTTAAATTTCATTAGTATAGGCAGTTCTCAGTCAGAGTTCTTCATCTGAATCACCAACCACAAAAAAGTTGAATGACTGTTTTATCAATCATATGAATAATGTTTCATAGCTAATACCATTCTAGATGTATAATCAGAAGTTAATTTGTGAAAATGAGTAACTTAAAGAATTAGGGCTTAATTTTAACTCTTGTGTCCTGTTTGAGAAAGTCCACAAAAGCACTAGGAAGTCATTAATACTAATAAATATTCATGCAATTGACAACATAAGAAAGAGTGGTCTTGTAGTTTAAATAAATGGTATTTCAGGATTTAGGTAGTGTCCTGGAGCTGGGAATGTAGCTCAGAGATAAGAGTATTTGCCTGGCATGCAAAAGGCCCTGGGTTCAATCCCCAGTACCTCCCTCACTCCCATCCCCCCCCCCCAAATTTGGTACTTTGTGGTTAAATTTCAAGTATTATTAGAAAAGTAAAAGAAGGATTTTAGTTAGGTCTTTTGAGTAAGTGATCAGTGGGATTAAGAAGTTAAAACCTCTTAAAACTGATTATTTGTAAAATAAAAGTCTAAATAACATTGTTACAGCAGTGTTGATAACCTTTTCTAAACAAAACTGAATTCAAATGAAAACTTGAAATGTGCATTGCTGTTTTTACAAAAACATTTTCTTTTAATTTGTTGCTGTTTTGGTGCTACAGAGTAAAGGAGTTTGGAATTAGTCCATCAGACATTCCCTTCTCACAGGGTAGTGGCAGTCGCCCTGATCTCTCTCCTTCTTATGAGTATGACGACTTTTCTCCTTCGATTACCAGGTCTACTTCATTCTATACATAAGATGTTTATTTTAATAGTTTTTAAAAATTATTTTCTATATATAAACATTTCATTTACTTCTTTTGTCCTGAGCCATATTATTTTTCATTTTCATTTCATTTGGCAGGTGCTGGTTGTACTGCATGATCTGCATTTTTATGTCCTGTATTAATTTATTTGCTTTGAAATTTTGGTTTAGAATTCAAGCGTCCTATTTCCCCTCATTTTTAAAAGGATGATGTCACTTTTGCATACTTACCATTAAAAGATAGATTTTTCTTGCTTGCAGTGAAGAGTTTACCTGTATTGTGTATGATCTTATAAATTTCCTTGTCTGCAAGGAAATGACAAGGTTCCTATTAGAAAGTATATCTTTCTCAGATGTGAGGAGCAAACATTTTTTAAAATGATACAAATCCTATAATCTTTATACCTTGGAAATAAAATTATTTCATATTTAGCTATTTTAATTCAAGCATTTCAACTATCAGAAATCTGCAAAGTGTATCAAATTCTCTGATATCAGCAATGACCTATTTATAAAACTTAATGCTTTTGTAAAGATTTTTCTGCTCATATAATGTAATTGCAACAGTGTGTTTCTTTGAAATACTGAATCTGCATACTTTGAATTTGCACTTTTGTGCACATTTATTCTTGAAGTAATTGCAAAGTTGCTTATGTGAACTACTAGAATTAAACAACCAAACATCCTCTTAAGAGTTTCCAAAGAGTTCAGATAAATTTGAGCTATAAAGGTGACATCATCAATCTTAATGTGTTATTTGAATTGCCTTTAATTGAATAGGTTGATATTTTCTTGCTCCTATGCATGAGTCTTTGTTAATTTTAGATACCTCTTCTCTATCTATAGGGTGAAAGAACTGACTGTTGATCCAACTGCGGCTGGTGATGTCCGTCCAATAATGCACCATCCACCAAACCAAATTGATGACTTAGAGACACAGTGGGGTGTGGGAAGTTCCCCTCAGAGAGATGATCTAAAACTTCTTTGTGAACAAAATGTGAGTGAGATAATATAGTTGTAATTGATGCAATTTTAGTTCATTTCATTAATAGCTCAATTTCATCTACGTCAGGGGTCAGCAAACTGTACTCTGTTTTTACAAGTAATGTTTTATTAGAACATAGTAATGCTTACTCATTTATGGATTGCCTGGCTGCTTTCTTACATAACAGTACCAAAGACTGTATTGCTCACAAATCTAAAACATCTACTATCTGGATTGCCAAACCTCTGATCTAATCTATTACCCCTCACCCCCATATTTTATACCAGTATTAAAATTTTAGTAATATAGGGTAGAAACAAGTTTAAGAATTATACATCCAGTAAGTACCTCATTATAAAGCTTAAAAACAAAATAAAAAAACTGTGGACAAAGACATGACCTTCATTAAAAATCAAACATGGCAAAATGCCATCATCCATTAAACCAGGCTGCTTTTCTATATGTTTGAAATGTTTAATGATATTTCATAATTTAAAATTCTGTTTTTCCAGCTGGGCACAGTGACACATCTTAAACTCCAGCAACTTGAGAGACAGAGGTAGGAGGATCGAAAGTAAAGGCCAGCCTGGGCAACTTAAAAAACCTCTGTCTTGAAATAAAATCCAGAAAGGGTTGGGGATGTAGCTTAGTGGTATTGTGCTTGTCCAGCATGCACAAGACCTTGGGTACCATACCCCTGTATTCTTTTTTTAATGTTCTAATTATTAAAAATAATAAAATGTATGCCCACTCTATAAGGATAGTAGGGCATAAATAAGCAAGAAAGCACAAATAATAACTTGCTTCCACATAATTGTTTCTAACATATTGAGAGGATTACATTCTGTGTGTGAAATACAAGAGTTATTTATGTAGTTATTTAATTTCATTTTAACATGTATATTTTAAATGGTTTTATGTCACTGTTTTTCCCACTAAAATCCTATTGTGGCATTTTCTCATAATGTTAARAGGTGGCATTTACTAATTGCTTACTACATGACATGCATTTGCTAAACATTTTGCTTGTTACCTGATTTAATCCTCACAATTCAATGTGGTAGGTGTTGTAATTATCCCTACCTCATAGTTGATTTTCTAAGAGGCGTAACAACTTGACCAAGATTATAAGTGAGGAAGCCAGAGTTGAAACCTACATCTTTCTTTTGACACAGTCCAGTTTATGTCAGTTAAGCATATTTCCATCAACAGTATTCTTTGAAAAGAACAGAATTAGTGGTTATGTTGTAATACTTTCTGACAGATGTTAAATCCAAAATATTCTAGAGTAACAAATGGACATAACTGCTTTTGATTACCACATTCCATACTACTTTTTTGTTTTCACATTCCACATCCTTATGTTACTAAATCAAGGCTGTAAGCAGCTGTCCTCAACCAGAGGTGATTTGGCCCAACCAGGACAAAATATATGAAGATGTTTTTGGTTGTCACAGCTGAGGATATTGTTAGCATCTAGTAGGTAGAAGCTATGATGCTTTTAAACACGTAGTGCATGGGATAGCCATTCTTCCCTCTACCCCTCAAAAATGTCAGTAGTTCAAAGGTTGAGAAAACTAGTTTTAAATTAAGAGTTCTAAATTTTGAAACATAAAAACAGCTAAAAATTAGATCGTGGCTTCATTCCCTGTCCTGTCTACATAAGTTTTAAAAGACACTATACATGTTCTTTGAGCCCTCAAATCAGTTCCTTTATTGTAATAGCTATGATACCTCCCAAAGATTCTGAAAACCAGAGTTAAGAGGCATTCTTCTCTTCTGTTTGCATTTTATTCTCATATCTAATGAGACTAAGACTTAACAGTTAACAAGGTAGATTAGTGGAATAGCATCTAAGATAAGCCCTAGAGATAAAAATAATATAGGTACACTTATAATTAAGTTCTTTAGTATTCCAAGAGTAGAAGAAAATTGTATAGACAAAAAACTGTTTGGATCGGGGCTGGGGATATAGCTCAGTTGGTAGAGTGCTTGCCTCTCATGCATAAGGCCCTGGATTCAGTCACCAAGAAAAAAATAAGTAAAGGTTTCTTGGGAAAGAAACTTCAGAAAGAAACCTTTCGAATTGATCTAAAACCAACATAATGCATATGTTGTATGTCTGTGTGTATGTATAGTTATTGTTGATGAAGTAAAACTATACCATCAATTCAAATTTCTATAATAACTGCCAGGAATGGTGGTACATGTCTATAGGCCCAGGTACTTAGGAGGGTGAGGCAGGAGGATCACTTGAGTCCAGGAATTTGTGGATAATCTTGAGTAACATAGTGAGATCCCATCTCATCCAAAAAAATGAAAGGAGGAGGAAGAATAACTGGTAAGCAAATCATATAGTATAATTTGAAAATTAATTTTTTTAAGAGTTAAGTACTTTAGAGTATTAATTTGATCAAAGACATTATCTTTACGTAATCCAAAGATGGTGTTTTTAGTCCCCCTCCTGCTTTGCTACAGAGGATTAAAAGCAGGACCTGTCCATACTAGATAATCTCACTACTACTGAGATTTATCTCCAGCCCTTTTCTCTTTTCTTTTGAAACAGGTTCTCCCTAAAATGCCCAGGCTGACCTCAGTCTAACCATCCTTTTGCCTCAGCATTCTGAGTAGCTGGGATTACAGGCATGTGCCACCATGCCTGGCTCATCTCTTTTAAGAAAAGAAACTTAAGACATGTACAGGTAGTCCTTGACTGAACAATGGGGTTACATCCTGATATTACAAGTTGAAAATGCATTTACCACACCTAACATGGTGAACATATTAATAGAAAAGATCAAAATTCAGATTTTGAAATGATTTCTGGATACTTATTGGTTTTATGTCATTGAAAAGTCTTAAAAACCATAACCTGAACCATCCTTAAGTCAGGAATTGTCTGTATATGAGTTAATTCATATACAGAAAAGAAAACAGTAGTAAGGAAATATTTGAATATATTTACAATTTGCAAAAGATTTATATTTGAAAAGCTGACTGTTCCTAAAGAGTGCTTTTTTGGGGGGTAATTCTGCAGTAAACCCTGGCATCAAGGAAAATTATTACCTACTCATAAAAAAGTTTGGATTGCTTTACTGAGAGTTATGTATATTATTTTGACCCACAGAAAGAAATTGTGACTTTTACTTTTATGTATATTTGAGTAGTCATCTCCGTTCAAGCTTCCTCAAATCCTAAATGTTATTTACAATAAGTGTCATTAAAAAGCTACTTTTAGGGGTTGGGCAGTAGGGTGAGTGCTTAGCATGTAAGGTCCTAGGTTGAGAACTTGGCATCAAAAAAAAAAAAAAAAAAAGAAGAAAAACAAAAAAAGACTACTTTTCTAGCATTTAAAAATAGAACATTTATGTCATAAATTTTAAATTTTGTATTTTAAGGAAGAAGAGGTTTCTCCACAATTGTTTACTTTCCATGAAGCTGTCTCACAAATGGTAGAAATGGAAGAACAGGTTGTAGAAGATCACAGGGCAGTGTTCCAGGTAAAGAGAGAATCTTTCTTTCATCAAAGTATTTTGAGATATATTAACCAAAAACTTTCATCATTCTTGGAATAACATTCCTTAAGAAAGAATACTTGTTTATATGTATATTTGTAGGGCATATGACATGACAATTTTTCCCCCATAGTAGTTTTTTAATACAATGAACAGTGATTCTAAACATCCATCTGAGGGCTGGGGATATAGCTCAATTGGTAGAATGCTTGCCCTGCATGCACAAGGATCTGGATTCAATCCCTAACACCACATACCCACACATCCACACACACATTCATTGCACAATGGTGAAAAGATCTGTTTTTTTTTTTTTTTTTTTTTTAAAGCACCTTTTGCCTTTTCTTTTTGTTAATTGTCCAGAAGAGTTCAACTTCTGCCTACTAATATTCCTTTCTTTGTTAGGCCAGTTTTTTTGGCAGCATAAGAAAAACCCTTTAAAGGTTAGGGAAGCTGGGCACAGTGGCATGTGCTTATAGTCCCAGATATTTGGCAAGCTGGGGAGGAAAATTTTATTTTTAAGGCAACGTAGTGAGACCCTACCTTAAAAAAATTAAAAAATAATTAGCAGAAAAGAAAAGTTTGTACTTTTAGGAGATGGAAGTAATGCTTAGAGTACTTAAAGTACTTTAACTGTATAACTCTCCCAGTTATTGTGGAGAGTGTGTGAGGTTTTTTTTTTKGGGGGGGGTGTTGGTGGTACTGGGGAATTTATTTATTACTTATTTTGAAACAGGTTCTTGCCTAGTTGCTGAGGTTGATGTTGAATTTGCAAATATCCTGTTCCGAGTCACTGGGATTACAGGCATTTGCCACCACATCCCGCTTGTTTTTGTACTTTTGAGATGGTCCTTTTGCTCAGGCTATCTTTGAACTCCTGGGGTCAAGCGATCATCTTGCCCTCACCTCCTGAGTTAACTGTGGGACTACAAATGTGCATCAGTGCTTGCCTAGCATGCATGAGGCACGGGGTTTGATCCTTAGCACCACATAAAAATAAGGTGATCACTTAAAAAAAAAAAAAGGTGCATCACCAAACCTGGTTTCCGATTTTTAACAGGAAAATATCCTGGGTGATGGTATTTATGAGGAAGTGAAGATATCATTTAGACATCCTTATGAAGTTTACTATTGACTTGTTTTTTTTTACTCTCCTTCCACTTCTTTTTTTTTAAAACATTTTTTTAGTTGTAGGTGGACACAATACCTTTATTTTATTTTTATGTAGTGCTGAGGATAGAACCCAGTGCCTCACATGTGCTAATAATAAGCAAGCGCTCTTCTTCTGAGCCACAACCCCAGCCCCCTCCCACTTATTATAGTACTTTATTTCCCGAGAAAAAAGTGAACAATAACTCATTCTTCTTATTGATCTGTTGCTTTTCATATATTGAGGAAATCTATAAAATTCCTTAGTTCCAGGTCATTCAGGTACCTGGATGAGGGCTCAAAAATGAAAGAGTTGATTTCAAGTTAGGATGCAAATTCATTAAAATTGTTAGGGTTCTAGTGAAGCTCTTATTACAAGAATCTCTTACTACCCAGGCACGGTCGTGCATACCTATAATCTTAGCTGTTTGGGAGGCTGAGGCCTGAGGAATACAAGTTCAAAGCAAGCTTTAGCAATTTAGCAAGGCCCTAAGCAACTTAGCAAGACCCTGTCTCAAAATATGAAATAAAAAGGGCTGGGGATGTGGCTCAGTGGTTGAGTACCTCTAGATTGACTCCCTGGTACCAAACAAAACAAAAAAAAAGAAAAAGAAAAGAAAAAAAGTCTGCTTATAGGCATAGAGGTTTGGAGTAAGTCGAGAATAAGACACTAGTAATTTAAGAAAATTGTTGTTTCTGCCCTTTTGGAACAAGATCATATTAAGACCACCTTTTCTCTGCCATTTTTGTAGATGAAGTCTCACATTTGTTATCAACACTTAGAGTTCTGGCTTTCCAGTTTTATTTTCACTTCCATATATTAGTACTTACATACTGTCAACTGTCCTTTCTGAAAATAGGATTTTGTTAAATAAAAATTAARTGTATCAATGAAGGAAAAGAAAAACAAATAATTTGTATTTTTAAATGATACTTTTTTAAATTAATACCTATATGAAAGGTATCTATAGAAATTTTTAAATTCTGGTGAAGTAGTCTAATTGTAATTAGCCATTAAAGTGAATTGATAACTTGCAAAATTGAGACTGTACACATTCTTAAAATTTAGTACCTTTTATAAGAGCATATACATAGTAGTTGGGTTCATTTTGACAAAATCATATGTGCATAGAATTTGATTTCAATCCCTGTTCCATTTTCTCTCCCCCTCCCTTCCCATTCTCCTTCTGCTACACTACWGATCTTCCTTTTCCTCATTTATTTATTTTTGGTTGGTATGGAAAGCACCTATTTTTATGCCCCAAACTCCAATTTAGTACCATCTGACCATCTGTATGACTTCTGACATTCTAGAAAATAAAAACTCATGGGTTTCATATACAAAGATTACCAAGTTCCTAGGAGCATTTATTAATAGTAAGTAGCTACCATTGAGGGGCTTTTTTGACTTTTCTAAATTGGCTATGCACTGGTTCCTCATGGTTTTGAATAAGAGTTATTTTGAAATTTTTTTGAACAATGATTTTGAAGAACCAGTGTTTAGTATTTAGGGTTATGTTTTGGCCCAACCTCAGAGTCCATTTTAAAGCCACCAGTATTCAACCATAGGGGCTCCACCTTGATGGCTTTAATCCTCACCACCATAGTTTAGATGTGTTCACCCTCTTAATTCACAATGGAGTTTAAATTCCAAAATGGTTCAGAGGGGACAAACCATATTCAAACCATAACAGGTTCCAACTGGATAAATTAATTCCAGATGACATAAGTTATAGGCCTTCCAAAGCCCTCATCAAATTGTTCAGTAGCCTTATTATGCCAATTCTTCCCTTGTTTCAGGAAGAGCTGTTAAGTTTTTAAAATTTACTTTGACCACTGATGTTAATGTGTTTGATGAATTCTTTCTCCAAAAATCCACTCTAGGTAGAATAAAAAAGTCAAGAAATGAAGTAATATTATTTGGCAAATCATGTATGTATTTGTGTTTGCACTTAAGAAAATATTTCTTAATTTTACTGTGAATAGAGATGTTTTATCTGTTAGTTTTACAAGATACCATCTTAAATATGTTTGTAATTAACAGAATTTGTAAATGATATCTGTTTTATAAAAAGGCTTAAAATTATAATTTTTTCTTTTTAGGAATCTATTCGATGGTTAGAAGATGAAAAGGCTCTCCTAGAGATGACTGAAGAAGTAGACTATGATGTAGATTCATATGCTACACAACTTGAAGCGATACTTGAGCAAAAAATAGACATTTTAACTGAGCTGCGGGGTAATTCTTTTTTTTTTTTTTTCATTTTATTGTTTGGTATGAAATCTGTTTGGTATTGGGGTGTACATATTACCAGTTGTAGGATTTCCTATTGCAGTATGACAATATTGAAGTGTGAATTATGAGTACCATTTTATACCTTCTTTCCAGAGGTATAAAGATGAACTAACTAGTCTGTTTTTTCCTAAATAAAACATGAAGTGTCGTGTCATTTCAAGTTCTTCCTAGTCATTTTTTTAGTCTTTTGAAAAATAAAGGCATCTTATGATTAATTTGCAAGTTAGATACTTAGTTGGTAGGCCAGTGCTTGTCAAAATTATTATTCTTATATTAGATTTGTTCAAGGTCTTCATTGAAAAATGCCTATCTTCATCTTTCTGTGCCAAAAATAAACAAAGGTAAAGTTATTGAGATGACTGCCCTTTTCACATTACTTATGAAGGGAAGTATGTGGTTCACCTACATGCCATATCTTTTTGACTTTTTAAAATAGCTTATCTATATTACTTCAAATATGTACTTGTGATTGTGCTAATCTGGCTCTTGCTTAATGCAGGATAGAATGTTTGCTGTGTGTATGTAGAGTTTTTAGCAGCAAATAGGGTGCTTAATTTTTAAAAGTGGGTCCTTCAAGAAGTTGGTTATTATAGAAAAAGGCTCATTTCCAGGAATTTGTGATGAAACATAGTTCAGGGCTGGGGTTGTAACTCAGTGGTAGAGCACCTGCCTAGCACGTGAGGCACTGGGTTCAATTCTCAGCACCACATATAAGTAAATAAGTTAATAAAGGTCCATCATCAACTAAAAAAAAAAAGTTGAGCATTATATTTAGTTCTGAAGGAACAGAAGGGAAAATAGTGATTTAATGTTATGAAATGAGCGCTAATCTTGATAGGATCCATATAGTTGTATACTATTTTTGCATGCAATACTTATTCCTTTGTTCTTTCTTTTTCCAAGATAAAGTGAAATCTTTCCGAGCAGCTCTACAAGAAGAAGAACAAGCCAGCAAGCAAATTAACCCCAAGAGACCCCGTGCCCTTTAAATTGGTATTCGCTGCTGAAGGATCCCCAGAACCCTCACTACTTACTGTAACATAAAATGGTTCAGCTGTAAGGGCCATTCRAAAGTTTGAAATTTTAAGTGTCTGTGGAAAATGTCTTGTCCTTCACCCGAATGACATTTCAATTTTGTGAAACACTCAAAAGTCTACAAAATGCTTCTAGTCCAAGAGGCACAACGAAGAGTTGGAATTAGTGAAGCATTTTGTTTCATTTACCCAAATAGCGATTTACTTTTGGAGATCCTTGCCAATTTTATTTTCTATGTGATGAAGTAAGATTGTGGACTTGATCCAGAGGTGAATTGTAGGGAGAAGCCACAGCATTTCCTGTTAACTCAGTTCAATTTTCATAGCGAGATTGAGCAGTTTTAAATCCTTTGCGTGCATGCATACCTCATCAGTGATTGTACATACCTTACCTACTTTTAGAGAGCTGTGCTCACCTTTTCCTGCTCTGTGCCTTGATTAAGGCTATCGACCCTAAATTTCTTAAGCACAGCCATGATAAATTACATTCCTTATTTGTCATTGTAAATTACCTTTATTGTGTGTACATTTCTACTGTGTTTGAGACATTTTTTTGTGTGACTAGTTAATTTTGCAGGATGTGCCATATCATTGAACGGAACTAAAGTCTGTGACAGTGGACATAGCTGCTGGACCATTCCATCCTATATGTAAAGAAATCTGGAATTATGACTTTAAAACCATAACGTGATTTTAATTTTCTTAGCATTTTCTTTGTAAAAAAAAAAAAAACTAAAATATAAACTAGTTGGTGTATAATAAAAAGTAATGAAATTCTGAGAAGAGTTTTATCTTAGGATGATAAATATATATGCAGTGTGTGTGCCAGTGTGGTATTAACAAGAGTAATAGTGCAATTTGTTCATTTCCAGTACCATTTCTTAAGTTGAAGTGTTCATTAGCACCCCAAAATATGCCTTTAAATGTACTGTTAAAGGAAATTGGCTTCTGATGCATGAAAGTAGTTCATAATAGTAGTTAGTTTAAGCCAAGTGTAGACAGTAACTCCCTTGAAAAAGAATTAAGCTGAGAGAGTTGACATTGCCTTAAAAGGCAGATCTAACCGAAGTTCCAACCTGTACTTAATATGTGATGTTTCACCATTATTTGGTAGGAATAGTGAAATTCTCACCAACAGATTGGTGGTAAGGTATGCTACTCTTTAAATGGCAGCAGTTACTTTTGCAGATTGGTACTCAAGAAAACTGGCCTTTTTTTCCATGTAAATAATTTGTCAGAAATTTCTCTCTCGGAGTTTTCCCTGTGTTCCCAGGATAGAGTCCAGGAGTAGATGAATAACAAAATCTATGAAGGACCATCTTATTTTGATTTACTCTAGGGAACAAGTAGCTCATCCATGAGCCAAAGGGAAGCTATGACAGAGAGTCATGAGCCAGATTCTCTACTTCACCGTCTATAATACTCTCAGAGGGTAGCTGTGAGAAATTCTAATACCATGGTGAAAAGCTCTGTAAACATGAAATCTAAAACAAATGTAGATTTTTTCATAATATGCCTATTAATAAATGAAATCTATGGTATGAGTTTAGAGATAATTTACTTCAATACAATGACCTTTGTTTTGGAAGGAACTCAGGTTTTCTTGCATTTGTTAAGATGTATTCTATTTCTGTTTATTTCAAAGAAGAATGGAGAAGTGGTAACTGTTGACACTGCAGGGACTATATAAAAAAGGCAGTTTTTGAGACTAATCTACAAAGGGCAATGAAGACATAAGGTTGAGCAGTGTAAGCAAAACAGATTAGCTTTGATATTATTTGCATTGGATGGATACCATTCTTTGGAGGGTCTTTTTAGAGATAATTCTGCTCCCTTATACTATGATAGCTTCATTCTCAGTGGTAGTCAAGGTTTCTCAAAAATTTAGTACCAGCAAAGAACTTGGGAGGTGAGAACTGAAGAACAGAAAAGGGACTAAAACTAAGCAGTTTATAAGGCTAGAGGGAAACAACCTAAGAAAGCTGAATTCAATCTTAGGACAAAGCTAGGAYAAAAGTGAACTTTGCAAAGTAAATGGTTTTTGAGATTAAAAAAAAAAAATCTACCCTTAAGTAGATTTTTAATATTCATGTAGTAAAACTGGATTGTACAGCTAAGTAACTTCATTTTTTTGTTCTGAATTTAACACTTTTTAGTATTTTCTCAGACTTGAAAGCTGATATATAAATATTATTTTAACTAGTAACATTTACTATATGACTKTGAAGCCAGACTTAAATATCTTCCCTTCTAGGTTTACTCAGTGTACCTTTGCAAATTAATTGGAATCACTCCTATTAAGTTTTAGTTATACAGAAAGCCAAATATCAATGAAGGTATTTTTATTAATTTCTTAATTCATTAAAATATATTTAACACTATATTGATTTGAACTGAGTAGCTAATAAAACTTGTATATGACTCTACTGGAATTCTCAATTTGATAATTTTTACATAGCTTAAAAGTAAATACCAGGTATATGAAAAAAAGTACTGAAACTTTTCATTATATAGATTCATTAATGCCAGGAACCTGTAGTTGTGGGGRAAAAAACTTTTTTTTTTTTTAATGGCGTTAACAGCACATATTTTAAAACCTATTTTTGAATTATAAAACTCTATGATTATCTCTCCAAGAAAAATGATATAATTTTATAGTTAATTTCATTCTAGCTGAGCTTCCTCGTTTTATAGATAAGGAGTCAAACTCAGAACATGCCTGGCATTGTATGATAGCAACAGACTGAGTCTTACCCAGAACCACCATGTAGCCTATGCTGCAACATTATAGCTGAAGAGGTAGGTGACAATAGAAGAAACTGTGTAAATAGGGAAAAGAAAGAAGCAAATAACATTTTAAGAAACAACTATTTTATTGTACATGTGAATAAGAAATGGATAGTTAATATGTGACTAATTGAACACACTTAAACTTGAGGAACAGAGCTGATGGCCTAAAAAGGTCTTTACAGTATAGAACATGGTAAAGAGATGTACGATAAACTGCTAGAAATGGTAAGTTTAAGGTTGTGCGTATCTGCGGCTCTTGAACTTGAAGATACTGTGTATAGATTGAACCCTGCCACGTGTATTACATTCAAAACAAACAAGACTTGTTACCGCCTTAAAAATACAAAATAACAGTACAAAAATAGTCAAGCAAATAATGTTCCAATTGAGCAAAAGCAGAATTTGTCTTCTCAAATATTAGAAATCTAGAATTAATTTTTCTTGACCTTGACAAAATTATTTTCCAAATAGCTAGGAAAAATGGATACCTTCTGCATTGAATCCATGTAGCAATCTAAAAAACAAAATGCAATGATATTAAAAAGCTAATTTGTGACACTGATAATGTATAGATTTGTACCATAACTAATAATACATGCACACATCAGCTTACTTAATGCAACTATACAACTCCTAACATTAGTCATTATAAAGAAACCTTATTCTCCAGCTGAATTTATAACTTGGATAAAAACCATGTCGTGTTGGTACTTCTTTTTTGTTATAACAAACATGTTTTAAATTATATTGAACCTGACTGAAATTATTTTACATTTTTGCTGTCTGAAGCGTAAGAGCTCATTGGCATTTGTTCTGTTTCAGCTTAATTAACTGAACAAGAAGCTGTTTGCAGTTTAAGGCAGAAGTCAGATGAATCACCAGTCTTCATATTCTTCTGAGCTGAGGTTCAAAGTAAAAACTTTTAAACATCATTTCTCTCTGTGGATACCTGTGTACTTAGCTGACCTTTTTAGGAGTGGGGGTGGGGCGGGGTTTACTAGGGATTGAACTCAGTGGCACTCAACCACTGAGCCACATCCCCAACCCTATTTTGTATTTTATTCAGAGACAGGGTCTACATCCCCAACCCTATTTTGTATTTTATTTAGAGACAGGGTCTCACTGAGTTGCTTAGTGCCTCGCTTCTACTGAGGCTGGCTTTGAACTCACAATCCTCCTGCCTCAGCCTCCTAAGCTGCTGGGATTAAGGCGTGCGCCACTGCACCCAACAAGTGACTTTAGTTATTAGCAAACTGCACCCTAAAGAAATTTAGTGAGTATGAAGCAAACAAGATAAACTATTTCCAGGCTTGTCCATAATAACAGATGAATTAAAATGTACAAAAAAGCAAAGTAGTGTTCAACTCTTAGAATTACCATCTATTAAATGTGTTGACATGTTTTCAGGATAGAAGTCAAAACAATGATTTATAACAATCTACGATAATTTTCTAAAAAATTCATACTCTATCTAAACCATTGATGCTTTAAAAGTAAACTGGCTAAATAGCTAAAAAGTTCTGAAAGTTAGTGTTAATTTATTTATCTAGGTGATTAATTGAAGCCTTATTTTCATGGAACTTAACTGCTTTAGTTTAAAGAAAAGCAAATTTTGGTCTGAATTGCCCAGGTAATTTGACWCCCTTTTACTAAAGATATATAGAACTTCCTTCAGACTATAAAACAACTAATACTAAAAGGATAAACAGATTATAACTTACATTTCATGCTTGATAAGATCTATTTAATGATAGCGATTCCCAATAAAGAATCATGCAGTTACATGTGTTATGATTTTTCAACCTTATGGGCTTTGAGAGACTATGAATGGGAGTTGGCAATAGGAAGGCAAGGCAGGAGGGAAGGAACACACACACTACAACACACATTAACAATCTTCCGGCTGGGACTGTTCTTCAAAAAAAAAAAAAAAAAAAA